ATTAATAGTTGAGAGTTTAAAAGGAAAAACAAAGGCTCCTGTCTATTGCTGGTACTGTGCCTATGTATTTCATAAGGTTTCCTGTGTTGCAAGAGTGAATACAATAACTCCGTAAATCACACACACGCTTCAACTATGAGCTCTGATTTTCAGAACCAGAATTTGGGATTTCTGAAGCAAAAAAGAACCAATTTTCAGATGGCTTCAGGAGATCCCTCGGCTTCCCTGTCCATGAGCCACCAGATGGCAATATCTCTTGGATGCAATTCCAGGAGACTCCATGAGATTCACCACATTTGTTGTCTGGCTTTCCTGTCCTGCTTAAGTCTCTTTGTAAGACCTCTTTCGACCCAGCCCCACCATGGTAACTCAGAGGATGCAATTAGCACCGGAGTCCTTAGTCACCTACCAGGCAAACCCAAACATGTGCTTCCAGCAGGGCTTTAAATAGCTGCCCAGCCTGGGGGCCCATTGTTTGATAGCTCCAATGTGAATTCTGAAAATAGGAGGTTTGGACAGGATTTCCACTTTTAGAGGACCAGGAAATTAAATCATGTTTTGGTAAAGCTCTGTTTAGGGGTGTTTTGTCTCCATGTACGCCTTGTTTAACAAGAGTTTTGCTGCCTCCCTTTTAACCATACCGCAGACCAAAGACACAGGTACCACTTAGATGGCCAGGTCTAGGGCCATCCATTGGCTTGTCTGTTCATTGCTTCCAGCTCAGAAATCTCCACCTTTTCTTGCTCGTTGTTTTGTATCATTATCATGTAGAGGAGGCAGTGCTATCATACTGATGTATCTCATCTTTTTCGGGGATAAGTACAGAGAGACCAGAACCCCTGGTTCTTAATTTTTTTCTTCTTGTGTATTGCCCAAAGCAAGTTTCAGTAAGTGACCCAGTAAGGAATTCTCTAGTTGAAGAGTTCTTGTCTCATTTTAAATAATTTTTAAAGTGTGGTTTTATGTGAAGATGAGGAATTCACTTTATCACAACAGAAGGAGTCTCTGTACCCATTTCTGCATAGACTGTGAAATAGCTTTTTAATTTCTGTGTTTTTCCTGCAGTACGTTGGCACTTCTCAAAACAGCTCCAAGTAGTGAATTGTTTCCAAAGTAACTGAGGAGCAGAAGGAGGAATGGGGTAAAATGCAATGCAGGAAGAATTAAGAGATGGATTATTTGACTTCTCTCACAGTTAGGCCAGCACATAAATGACCTAGTTTCATACTGTGGCAAAAAAACCCCAAAACAAAAAAAACCCAAAAAACCCCCCACCATATAAAGAAGTCTAGCTACACACATGAAAAAGTTATTCTGTGCAGTCTGAGTTGTCAGCAAGGTAGAAACACTGTTGTGTTCATCAGAAGAGTTAAAATTGGAACTAGGATACTGCTGGATGGTACCAGTGTGGTGATGTTCAGTATCTTATCACTTGCTTTTTGATTGCTATTTGGGCCAAAAGGCCTGATTTCTGGAGCAGTCTGAAGGCAGTTGGGAGGGGTGCCGGGCAGCATCACAAACCTGTTTACGTTGTAAAGCCTGGAGATTTCTCTTCCCTTCTATGGGTGCACTCTTGCGTGATTTATTTGGTTACATGTGTTTTCAGCCTACCAGAATGCAAACCTTTATAAATAGGCTCATCTCTCTTCCTGACACACCCAGCATTTTTTTTTTTTTGCCTTTTTGATGAGTCGGGAGGTTTTTGTTCCACTTCTGGGGAAGGTGTATGAGGGTGTTAGAGCAGTCGAGAGTCAGATGCCTTGGTGCTTGCAAAGTGCACGACTTGGTGCTTAACCCATGTTAGGAGAAAGCCCTGCTGTCTACCAGCTGGAGCAGAAAAGAGATGATTGAGAGCAATAGCATCTGTTCTGGCATTGCCCGGAGCTCTTTGTGATCTTGGGCAAGTTACTTAACCTCATAAAAACAGCTTTGGGCTTGTTTTACAGATGATAACCACTTATCTCCTGAGAGTGCCAGAAAGCTTAGCTCACTTTTGATAATGCTCTGGGAAAAAGGGGCCATTGGAGTTCAGAGATGAGTCTAGGTGAAGGAAGCAATGGTCTTTGATGTGAAGCAAAGTGTTGCCCCACTGACAGTTCCTTCAGAAGGTTCATGTACTGAGGACATGTTTGCTTACATCGTTCCTGTAGTGGTTTCAAAGCAGAGGGGCAGAGACCTCTTGAGCAATCTTTTTAGTATTGGCCGTGCTTGCTACTTACTGTCTTCTCTTTTGTTTGAACTGTTTGCCAAAAGTCCGAACCTGTCCCAGACTCTTACCCCCCCCAGTCTGACAACATCTCAGATGTAGAGAACATCAAAGCGTTGTGAGCAGCTGCCCTTTCGAAGAACATTCCCCAGGGTTTAGCAGGATGCTCATCTGACCTCGCTACATGAAAATGGATCGTCAGCTCTGTCACCTTCCTTGCAAGGCTACATTAGATATCTGAGGGAGTTTGAAGAGAACCATAGCTGGCCGCAGGTCAAGACATGGCTTTTTTGTCACCTCCCATTGTGTTGCATCAAACACTGCTGTATCTTTGCTTAATTTTGGGGTTGGTGTTTCACACAGGCTCCATCCAAGGGAACTTTGTGTACATCCAGGATATACCAGTTTAAGGAGACCACATGTCTTGACTGAGGTTCCTTTTGTTGCATGATGGAGAAGCTTTTGCTGTCCCATGGAAGAGTTGTTTGGCTTCATGAGAAGGAAGTGACTGCCCTGAAGTGTTTCTCTGTAACTGCTCACGGACCACGTTTGCCTTCCACTGCAATCCTGAAAGTCAGCTGGCTGTCTGGCAGAGTAGCTGTGTGCCAGGTTATTCTGCAGATGGGATTCTTATGGGAATAAAGGGAAAATATTTTACAAAAAATAATCAAAGGTTTAGCTTTTCTCATGCTATCAAGGAGTCTTTTATTTTATTTCTTTTAACTCTGAATTCTAGCAAAGTTCCACAGCTTTGCATGGGGAGGGAGATCCAGTTCACAGCACTTGAGTCAGCTCCTGCAGGGCAGCATGGTTTTCTCAGCAGGCTGCAGATAACTCTCTGCTTTTGTGGAGCTTTTAAACAAAATTAATGAGCCTTACCAACTCCTTGTTCTGATGTCCTTAGGACGATGAGCAAAGCAAGAAGGTGCAGGGGGAGGGATGTACAGTTCTGACCTGCATTGAAGGCAATTTCCCCCCAAGTCGTCCTGTTCCTCTGCTTCTCCCTTGAATATTTGAGGCTTCTACTGTGAGGATGGGTGGAATTTGTGAATGGGTTTCATCTGGGCTTCTGAAATCTCTGGCCCTGCCTGTCCTATTGACTGGTAATGTATTAGAATGCACGTGCAATGTTTGCAAGAACAGTAGAAGTAGGTCTTCCTACCTTTATTCTGTTTTATAACATCAATCCTAGTGCATCTATTACTTCAGCTTTCACATCATCCTCTTGCTAGTAGATGCCTGGTGCTGGACGGAGAAAAGTTTTCTCCCCTTTCAGCTTTAGAGCCTCCTGGTTGTATTGAGCTGTTGCAGTGACATCCATGAGTGTTTTCCTCCCCTTCTCTACTTGTCTTTGATACCTTTCCAGCTGCGCTTGCTCTCCTTAGGAAGCCATGCAGCCTCGTCTCTGACAATTTTGGTGCTACCCACCATGTCCTAATAGCAGTTTTGACCTTTCAATTAACTTCAGGATCACCTCTTTCAGCAGACGAAACCTGTATAGATGCCAAAAGCTTCAGAACAGATTTGGAAGGTTGGCTGAAAGACCGTGAAGATTAGGGACATATTTTTCCTTTTGTCAGGGAAATCAACAGCAAAGGGCCCCGACACAAGAAGGAAACTTTCCCACTGACCATAAATAGGGGCTTAAATTGAATTTTCAAGCCTTTAAAAATAAATCGTCATTTTGTATTTAATTAAGCAGGGTTTCATGAATGTAGTAGTATACTGAGGTCATGGGCAAAAAGAAGCTTTTCCAGTAATTAGTGCAGGGTCCATGCTGTTCTGGCAAAAACAGCCATGACGTCAGTCCGAGACTGGAACAAGAAACTGTGCCGCACGGTGAACTTGAAACACAAACCTTATTATTGAAGGGGCATGTCTGACAATTACAAGTGCTGATCGTGTTGGACACATAGTATATTTTTCCTTTTAAAATTGCAAAAAAGGTGTTGTGGGTTTTGGGTTTTTTTTCAGTGGTTTCTGAGTTAATGAAATTGCTGCCATGCCAGGGCATCCTTTCTCTTGCTTCCCCTGCCCTAAATAAAGAAAGAAACTTAAGTTATGAAACTTCCATCCTTTCTGTTTTGTAAATATGGGGAAATGGTCATTTCCATGTTTTTATTTAGCAGAAGCAGGTTAATTTTAGTTTTGTTATGTGAACCCAAATGCAAAGGGCAGGTGCAGCAGCGAGCTGAGATCCAAGGGCACGCACAGGGCATGCCTGGGCAGAGCCATTGCTGCTTTTTGGGTCTTTGTTTTAGGTGAAATCGCCGTGTTTTCTGTACGAGCTAAGTGCTGTGACAGCGTTTGAAGTATATAGTTTTGCAGCACTTGGGTACTGCTTTCTGGTGAGTTGCTGGAGTCCTGTGGAGCTGGAAAATAAAAGTTTGTATAATCTGACTGTTTGGACTGTAATTTCTGTTGGTACATGAGCAAAGTCTTCACTTGAGTTACTTAATGCTCTTGAGTTTATTTGTTGCTGATCAAAAATAATCTGGCAAGATAAGAGTGGCTTATATTTCTTGGTTTATATTGTGCCAAGCGGAGAAGACTTATACATCTTTTCCTTTTAAAGTCTATAAGAAATACTTATCTCTAGTAATAAGTATAAATTCCCAAGAATGTGTAATTTAGAGTTGTGACCCTCAATAGCTTGTTCTTACCTGATTTCAAGTGAAGACTATGTGTGTCAAAGGAGTTGCTCAGTTGTGTTTCTTCAGCCCATCTGATTGTTCTCTTTACCGTTTCCCTTGTTTTTGTTTTTGTTTTTGTTTTTTTTTTTTTTTTTTTGCAGGCCATGACTGCTGTGAGACAGTGAAGGTGGCACTTTGTGCCTCTAGAGAAGGTCATCCTGTTCTGATTGTGGCAGAAGAGAGTTTCCAGTTTGTCCAGGATGAAGCCTACGATGCCGCCCAGTTTCTGGCCAGCTGTGCTGGCAACCAGCAGGCACTAAATTTCACCCGATTCTTGGACCGGTCAAGACCACCTGCTGCCGATGTGGACTTTTTGGATGAGAAAGTGGCTTTGGCATTTCGACACCTGAAGTTGCCGGAAGAATGGAATGTGCTGGGAGCGGACCAGTCCCTGACCGGTGAGGACCTCTAGGGCCCGCGTGAGATTCATGGGTTGGCAGAGAGGGAAAAAGCCTGGAAGAAGGGGTTCCCTACTCTGGGAACCCTCCACGTGTCTTTCAAAAGGTTTGTTGGTCTCTGTGCTCAGAGGTGGGATGTGGTGCACACCAGTGTGTCGCTGCTACCTCTGCATCCTATGCTTTGCTGTTCAGACACCTTAAAATATGTAAGGCACTGATCTTTTCTCAGTGTTTTCTTTTGGGAAATACCACAAGTTGTTGTAAATGGTCAGTGTTTTAAAACACACCCAGAAGGGTGTTTTGTTTTGGGTTTTTTTTGTGTGTATGCAATGGTATGTGTATTAGCATCACACTTCTGAGATTTCTTGCAAGAAACTTGTCTTTGTGTAGAAAGTCTGATGCTCTTGGGAGTATTATCCTTGTGCCACAAACCTGGCACTTTTGGTAGATGTTGTTTTACCGCACATGTGCAAAGTGACTGTAACGTGTAAAATATATCTAATTTTTCTTGGAGAAGTCGAGGTTCTGCCCCTGAGGATTTGTATCACATCCCTGGTTGGGTGCCAGCTGGGTGGAACACAGGCGTTTCCCAAAATAAGCCTGAACAATTTTGCAAATAAAAGAAGAGGAAGGTGGGAAAGCCTGACCCTTAACCAAAGCAGTGAGGGCTACTGAGAGCTTATAAATAAACCCTAAGGCTGGCCCAAAGTCTCTGGTGACTGCTGAAGTGGAAGTGCTGAGGCGTTCGGGATGCAGTGGCATGTCCATGTCCTTGGAGTTCAACTTTTTTTTTTTTTTTTCCTGTCACAGGGGAGCTTAAGGAAGTGTACTGAGGGACTGGGAGGGTAGTTCCAGTGTGTACAGATTCTTACTGTAAAGTTTCAGGGTATTTTGGCAAATAGTTTCATGTAAGGAATGTGGCTGGGAGGCATCCGTTATCTTTTATAGGATACAACGGCGTAAACACTTGCAGAGGAATGGGATGTGGCTTGCTCGGCGCAGCAGGCTCAGTTCTGCTCGCCGCAAAAGGGTTTTCTGCAGGAGTTTTGCTTGCTTTATTTTTCACCGACTTGCTGACTGCTTTTGTAAACATGAATACACAGGCATGCAACTGAAGCAGTGTTAGCAGACATTAAAAGATTTGATCATATTTAATGGTTTCTGGATAGACATTCAGATGCTGTCACATGTTTACGAGGAGGTAAACACTTGTTATTTTTTTTCCTCTGTGGAAGACACTGGTGGTTCTTTCTACCTTTAAAAATGTTATGATAATGCAGGCGTTTCTGGTTTAAGTGATAAAAATACAGTCAAAGTGATCTTAAGTTAACGAAAGCTTTGATTGAAGCTTTCAATTGTTGCTGATTTTGCAGGAAGGCTGAGATCCGGTTTCTCTTTTTGACTTTGGTTATTCTTTGGGAAATCAGCACTTGGGGAAATCAGGCCGTAGGATTTATATTGATTTGCTCAGCAGGCACTTGTGTGCCTAGAAGTTGTGGTCGTGTGGGGTTCTGAATGCTAATGGACCTGCAGAGCATCCATTGCATCAGCAGTGGGAAGGGGGAGCTCTGTAGTGGTGAGCGTTTTGGCATCTTGTGTGGAGGTTTTTGTAGACGAAAATGTAAGTAAATAAATATAATGGCATTAAATGCAACTTTCATCCAAGAATATTGGTGCTATAAAATACGTTCCCTTGCAGTGAGTCCTTTCATACATAACTGAATAAGGGCAGTTTATTGGTGTCTTGGTCTGACTTTCAGCTTCTGATCAGCTTTTTTTGTAGAGGCAGATTTGTCAGGTAGTTTTTTTCAGTGAGATAATTACACACAGGGAATTTGGGGGAATTTTTGTGATTGTGACAGAAAAGAGTTGCATGTATAAGCATCCTTTTGGTCATAAAACTCTGTTTTGCTTGAGCAAGATGGAAGAGATGTCTCTAGTTTATGCTGGAGCACTGGATTAGAAAAACCTCTGTAGCAAAATGTAGTGCCCCTGTATTGGTGCTTGTGGGTTAATTTGTGTGTGGGAGAGAGAAAAACACAAAGATGGAAACTGTGGGAGCATTTGAACAATTATGTGTGTTCTGACCAGTGCCCCTCCAGTGGGACACCCCGTCCCGTGCTGCGTCACTACCTATGAACAGCTATTCCGATTCATATTTCACATTTCACTAAATGTCAGCACCAGATACTTCAAATAACCTTCTCAAAGGAGAAAAACCTATAGAAATGAGAACAAAAGAAAATGTCAGATCCCTTCTTGAAAGATTTTTAGCGCTGCCTCTAAGCTGGCATGTCTCTATGGGCTCTTGTGGGTTGGAAACAAAACGCTGCTGTTTAGCAAAACCTCTGAACGCAGGAGTGAGCCGGGAGCCTCAGCCAGCTCCCCGAGTGCTGCAGCTTGATGGGGAACTGCTGTTCAGAGATGGCCGTTGCTGTCAAATGTGTTTAAAAGTTTTGTGGTGGTTGGTTTTTTTGGTTTGTTTTTTTGGGTTTTTTTTTTTTTGGTTTTTTTGTGGTTTTTTGGTTGTTTTTTTTTTTCCTAAAGACTGAAGTAGGAGTCTAGCTTTTGCAAGAACAGTTAGGAAGTAATGGCCTTTCTGCAGGCAGAAGCTGGGTGGAAGCTCCACTATCAAGCACAGCTCTGTGCTGATTTTTGAGGAGGAGATGGCTCTACGTTGAGGTTTCTCCCTGTTTTTACATCCCAAGTCTGACTGGTCTTTGAGCAGAGGATAGGGAGTTCATTGCCATTACACCCCAAAGGGCAGAGAAGCTGCTAAAGGTAACACCCAGCTCCATCTGCTGAGGCTATTAAGCTAATCTTTCAGGTCAGTGGGTTTGTGTGGTGCAAAGTACAGGTTAAGGTCCATGCCACTGAGGGAAGGAGGCACAGAACACCCCTTGTGCTCCTGGGTACCAACAGACTAGGTGGTTGTATCCTTAAAATTTGTCTCCATTCATCCATTGTTATTTCTTATGCTATTGCAGCATCCCACCCTCCTTTTTTTCTGCCCTCTTTTCTAACACATTAGTAGGTTTGACTTTTTAGTATGGAAAGGTGCAGGATTACTGTGGACAAAAGCTATGTAAGAGTCATCTACTTGCTTATGTTTTGGTTGCCAAACCAAGGTCTTAATTCTTTAAGCGTTTAACATTGCTCAAGATTAAAAGTATGGTGTGGTCATATAGCCAGACTGTTAAGAGCATGTCCTTTCAGCTGTGGGTTAGAAATGCCTCTTTTTTAAAAAAAAAAAGCTAGAGGACATTTGCAAACATTCCAGTGAAGCACTCTTTTAAAATTAATTTTATCTGTATGTAATCTACTTAAATTAGCTGTTGCCATTCAACAAGAGAGATTTATTCACCTTCAGTGATCCTGGTAATCTTAAACTCTTTCAGTCTACATTGTCTTTACATTTATTGCTTTGTTATCTCTTTAGGCATCACTTTCATTAAAACAAACTGAAAATGAAATCAACATTTCTTCCTGTATTGTTGTCAGTGCATTTTCAAAACCTGCTATGTTCATTTACAGTGTTCTCATTTGCTTTTTATTTTTTTCATCTGGAACAGTAGAAGGTTTTACAGCTTAAAAAGAAACTGTCCCAAAATTAAACGCATTGAGCAGCGTTGGTTAATCTAATCCCTACAGTAATATTATTGTAGGTATTTGGTTCACATTGCTCAAAACCAAATATTTATTAATTACTCAGGTAGAGTGTAGAAGACTGAAGTTGGTTTTGATCACAGGTCCTTAGTTCTTCACCCAGAATCCATTGGAAAAAGAAAAAGAAGGACTTGTCTGGACATTCAGCAAGCTTTGAATGAACCCTTTGTGCCAAATTTATCACCAGACTAAGTTTTGTAGGACTGGGGCTCTGACGACAAGCTTTGTGTTCAGCAGCCAGTGCTGAACCAGGTAATGGGACTTTGGGAGAGTAAAATATCCTCCAGATCCCACTTAGTGCCGTGCTAGCAGAACTGGGAATGGGAGCACCGAAGTTTCCTGACTTTGGAGGTCCTTGGGCTCCATCCTCTCTTGCCACAGCAGGCAGAAGATACTCAACCATTTGGTTAGATGAACCAGATAGCAAAAGAAAGCCCCCCACGTGCCGAGGATGAAGGAGATGGAGGAGGCAGCGCCGCGCGTGGTGCCGTGGTGCAGCAGCATGTCCTTGGGTTTCAGGGGCAGGTTTTTTTTTAGGGGTTTGCATTGCAGGTAAAGAGTGTGTCTGAAGCCCCTTGGGCAGGTGTGTCCTGACATCCTCCCTGCATGGTCTGTCCTCATCGCTTCTGCCCTGGGGCAGTTGTGTCCTGAGGACTCTGCTCTTCTCCCAGCCATGTACTGTCCCTCTGCAGGAAGCAATTCCTGGGCCTTGCTCTTAATTATCTGTCTGTCTGTATGAACTCAAGTGGCATCCACAATTTCAGAATATCCATAATGAAGGATTACTCTTGTTACCATGGTATTCCAAACACTTCATTACTTTCAGGTGCTATATAATCATGTCCATCTTGATTATTACAAGGGCACTGTAACTTTGTAAAGAACATAGTTGTTACTGCAGTCCAAAGTAGGGCTATTTACTGTTCTCAGCAAAGTAGGGCTATTTACTGTTCTCAGTGACATTTAAAGGTGGCTATTTAAATGGAAAACTTTATATCTAGAAAACAACATTTAATATGTATTCTGAGGACGCATCTGATGTAAATACAAGACTGTGATTTTCTATTTTAAATGACTGAAGAGAAAATAAGCTTACTAGAAAACCAGAAGAGAATATTTGAAGGTATGAGTAACAATTATGGCTTGTTTGTGTTGTAGGAAAAAAGCAGAAAAAAAAATTAGGGAGGATCCAAGGCTCAGGTATGAAAGCTGAGAGAGCTTAATCCTTGAGTCAACTATCAGTAGAAAACAGATCGCTTTCAAAATCTCTTTTAAGTAATAATCTGACAAAACATTTGAGGAAACACTCTTTTCATTTTGCTCATTAAAAGCAAGTGGTGAAACCCAGACCTATGGTTACAGTTTCAGCGGTGGTAGCTTTCTGAGGTGGTACTTTCAGGAGCTGGTTAATGTTGGCAGAGAGTTGTGGTGATCAACCGTGGTATGGAGCCATTCCCCTGGGAGGCAAGGAGAAGCAGGCTCTTTGAGCTGCGAGATAGTCAGCCTTGATTATGGGCAGATAACAAGGAGACCATCTCATTAGATAAAACACTTCATAGCTCCTTAAGGTTAGAACAGTTTGCTGACTTCTGGAATATTTACAGCTTGAAGCTCCCTGAGCTTGCCAAGTAGGAGGTGGGTAGAGAGGGAAATGTTTCTCCCTGGTTTGAAATAATCTGAGTGGATTTGGGTTACAAGTTCAATAACTTTACATACAAAACCTGTAGGGTTGCAGAGTACAGCGCAACTAGAGTGTCACCGTCATTAGAGATCATTAACTTGTTATTTTCTTACAGAAAGGGGGAATCTCTGAAAAGAAAAAGTAACCAAAAAAAGCCCTTATTTTAAAGAAAAAAATGAAGAAGCCTTAAGAAGCCTTTAAAAGTCTTTAACAGTTAGAAGGAAATTTGATTATTCAGAGCTAACATTTTTTTTCCCATGGGAGGATGTTAAACATATGCAGCTGATTATGATTTTCAGACATAAAGCTTTAATCTGTTCATCTGTTGCACTCTTTTTTTATAGTTTCTCGTTGAACCGTTTCAGTGTAACAGTTACAAGTATTTTTTTGGTTGGGTTTCGTATCCTTTCCGATCTGCTGCTCACCGCCTTCTCTGCCCTCTGATAAATGACTATATGGTGTAAATCAACAGGATCTTTTCTGTGCCAGCAGTGCAAAGCGGTCTGTTCAGCTATAGTCCTTGATAAGATGTAAAAAATCCTTTCTGTACCTAAATTTAGTGCCCTCTGCACTAGAGAATGGGGAGCAGAAAGTAATTCTTGTTCAGGCAGTGTCTGAAATGTGCTGCTCAGTACTTGCATGTTCTGCTCAGTCTGTGGCTGAAGAACTATTGGCATGAGAAAGTTTCTATTCCCTTTGATATTAGTGGGAATCGGGACATGAAGATCCTTTGGTGTTTTTTGAAAAAATTATTGTTTATAAGATTAAAAAAGAATTACCCACGCATCTTTTTATTAACCGAACTTGTAACTCCAAACACAGTGTCTTTGCCTTGACCTTTCTTCAGTGCTGTTGTCTGCTGGAGCCTTCCTCTAGGACCTCAATGTTAAGTGGTAACATTTTTCTGGTTGTTGCTCCCCATGTTTCTCAAGGTTTAATCTGTGTATTGAGAACATTTCCAGCAGAAAACAAGATCTTGAAGCGAGATTTGATGGTAGATTTCAAAATTGCCGAGTATATGTGATTTTGGGTGAGAACCAAGGAAGGTCACCATCGCAGGAACACTACCAAGAGATGCTAGCCAGTCCATGGCTATCTCTTCCTTGATGAGACGCTGCAGGGCATGCAGGATAAACTGAGCAGTTAGGTGTGGGTTACTCTAAATAGCAATTTTTTAAAAAGGAACAGTATTTTTTTCATTTATTTAATCAGGATTAAAATTATAGTTTTTACTTAGAGAACAGTTTGTTTTCTGGGATCTGCCAAGCTTGTTTTTTTTTTTTTTTCTCTTTAATGCTTATTCGTTTTGTGCTAGTAGCACCTTAAACCTTAGTCCTTTACTGTTAGCAAAGTACATTTGACAGTCTTCTATGGAAATTTTGCCCGTAGTTACCCAGATAAATTGTCTGTTCGTGTGTCACAGCTGAAAAAAAAAAAATAAACCAAAAACCATAAAAATAATATATCTAAAGTCTTATGTTTTGCCAGCTGGATTAGACTGCCCTGCAATTACGGGACAATAATCATATGTTTCAATTCTTGCCTATTACTAGGAAACGAGAAATGAACAAAACAATCTTGGCCTTTCCAGTATTATGTGTCTTGTATTTCCACAATTTCCTAATTATGAAAAGCTTTTTGTTGACATTCAAAGGACAGCCATTTTAAGATGAAGAATATGCTTGATACAGGGCAGGAGAAGGTGCTCTGGCTATTGCACGCTAAAGCATTTTGTTATTCTTCCATGCCTGAGATGGGCGTTTTACACTATGATGAGACCTTGAAATTGTTGACTCAATTTTCAGCATTTTGTGCTAATAAAGCTTTATCCCTTTAGAGGCAGGAAGGCTGTAAGGATGCTATCTGTCTTCCTCCCCTTTCCATCCAGCAACACTGCCATACTTGATCCAGACCAGCTCTCATCTTATTCCGGGCAACACCATACATCAACAGATGTATTTTTCGTTATATGTTAGTAGTTAATCCAGCCCACAGATGTCACACGCCTTTTAACTGTAGCTGTGCAAGTTCTGAACGCTCCAAACCCTTCTAAAGCCATTGCCTGGGGCCCCTGCAGTTGTTGGATGTACAGTACTTTGTCTCTTTGCTGCCATCATCTGTGCCCATCTGTTAGGATGGCCTCATGCCAGTTTATATTTTAGGCAGATCTTTCCAAATAGGCCTGGATAGTGAATTTGACTGTTTAATACTCTTCGGATGGCAACTTGCCATGTCTTCTTGTACAGATCTCCTGCGCACGTCGTTGTTGCTCAGAACCATTGGGGAAGGGCCACGTGGTGCTGGTGGTCCTGACACCAAGACATCCATCCAAATGCTGGAACTACTGTGTCCACTAATTTGATGGTAAAGAAGATTGTTTTAACATTCAGTTCGGTTGTGTTTGTAGACATCTCCATCCAAATGCTGGAGCTACTGTGTCCACTAATTTGGTGGTAAAGAAGATTGTTTTGAAAGAATGGGAAAAAGGTGGGACTTTCAGAAATTGCAGTCATATGAGCAGATGACATCAGAGGGGCATTTGGATCAACTAGGAGGGGGTATTTCATCTGTGGAAGTAGGAGACAGAGAAGGGCACCCAGTCGGATCAGGGACAGGACGAGTACCTGCCTGCATCTTGCAGAACTTAAAATTGGTATGTGTGTTTATTGGTGAACTGTGAGCTGGTGAGTCAAAGATGCTTCTGTCTAACTGTGAGGCCCTCAAATTAAGGAGGAGGAAACATTTTGGTCTAGGAACCTGTGCTTATGCTTTGCAGGTCTACCCTGCTCAGTTTTTGTGCAAGGGTGTCTGTTTTGGTTAGGAACATGATTTTTCCTTTCAACAAAGCAGCTAGAGCAGGTGATCCCACGCTAGAATACATGTGGTCAGATCAGTGCAACACATTCTTTATTTGAACAGCGGTCATTTGCTCCCACAGGCTAAGAATTTGTCTCTGAGTGAGCTCAGCTATTCCCTTTTTTTTCTGATCAGCTGGAACCTCCGTTCAGACATGCACATGTATTCAGGACAGCATGGTTTGGCTTTATGGTAATCAAGAGGTTAGGGAGGAAGGACTGGTTTGTAGCCCAGAGACCTAATTTGGAGTCATTTGGAAGAGAGATGATGCCAGAAAGCTTTTGGTTCTTGAATACAAATTAGTTCTTCAGGAATTGATCCAAAAATTCAGGAAAAATTGTGTGTCAGGCAGGGGAGAACTCCCTATTTTTGCTTTATTTTTTCCTGAAGGTCTTAATGTAATGTCCCGTAAGAAAGCAAGTAAGCAAGAAAAACAACAGCACCTTGAAGAAGTGATTTCTCTTGGGGCATACTTCTTGAAGAAAAAATGCTTAATTAAATTCTAAAGCCGTTATGCACTTGCATTTTTAAACCTGCTTTATAGGTTTGGCTGGCAACCAAATTAATAACCCAATAAATCATTGCCATGGTATTAAAGGTATTATACCAAGTGTGCTTATTGGCATGGTTTACTGAGACACGGTTGGTGCTTTTGTGTTGTTATTGTCTCTGCCAGTCAATACTGAAATACTTTGTGAATTAAAAGAACAAATTTTTATTTCTCACAGTTGTATTTTTTTTAACCCGAATGCTTTTGCCCTTCATACAGAACTAACGCGCTTTGATCTGTAAATACTGGATTTCAGCAGCTCATCTGGAGCTCATTTCTGATTGAAGTTCTTTAGAGCATCATTCTACGGCTGCAGCTTTTAGAGTAGGGGGATATTTTTTGGAGATTGAAAGCTTAGGCTCAAAAGTGACTTTTACCAAATTAGAAGGCCACGGTTATTAAACATAAAAAGCAGCAGTGCAGATTGCTGGTTCATAAATGCTGCTACTCAGAATGGTAGAGCTACTGTAAAAAACTAAGAAAAGCCTGTCTGAGGCACAATCAAGCCAGGAAAGGAAAATCTTCACTTTTTTCTTTTTTTTTTGTCTACATGAGAGGTTAAATTGTTCTCTTTTATAACTGCTTTAGATTTGTCCTTCAAATGTAATTTATCTTTCTCATACCTTGGGATAAATCAGCATCCTATTAAATAACTAAACTTGTCCGTTCCTAAAACCGGAGAAGGCTTGGACATGTAGAAGAACCCAACTGACCATGCTGAGCTCTGATGGGCAGCACTGCAGCTTGGTGTCTATCATGGCTGGTGATGAAATGGTGGGCTTTTCACATTGACTTCTCTGGTCAGTCTTGCTCTGAGAGGTCCTGAGCACTGCCAGTCCCACCGTAGAGTTTCCCTTGCATTAAAGTATTGGTTTCTCCTGGATATTGGCAGCCAGTGTGTTTTTCCAGGTGCTGCAGGTTCCTCGGCTTTTGGGCTGTCAACTCCATGCCAGCCATCGCATGTGGTGTGGCTGGGAGATGGGGATATGGCATTCACCTAACCCGCAGCCTACAAATTCCCATTGGTTTTTTTTTTCCTTCTCTCTTCCCAGAGAACATCCCTCGGGAAACACTGATGCATTTTGCAGTGAGGCTGGGTCTGCTGCGGCTGACGTGGTTTCTGCTCCAGAAGCCGGGTGGAAGAGGAGCTCTCAGGATCCACAACACCGAAGGGGCAACGCCCGTGAGCTTGGCCTTGGAGAGGGGCTACCAGAAGCTGCACCAGCTTTTGACCGAGTAAGGATGATTTGATGGTTCCTCTGTTAGTTTTCTGTTCTGTATCACACTTGCCTTTGCTGTACATTATCACTGAATAGTATCTAAGAGCCATACTCTACCCTTAAACGCAATTTTTGTATAATTTTGCTTTTACCTTTCTTGCTAGCAAGAATGGGGGCAGGTGCTTAGGATTTAGGGGAAATGCAATAATAGTGTTATGTTCTCCTTTTCTGTTGCACAGTGTTCTGCTTCCAGCTGTCTCTTAAAGTGAGTCACTGTAATATTGACTAATTAAGACAAAACTTATGCAAACACAAGTGAAAAAGCTTTTCGCGACTGCCCAAAAAAGGGGAGCTAGCAGGCTTCATGGTGGTGGTTGACTGTTGTGTTCTTACTTTGCGGATTTGGAGTTTTTTGGTTAAAAGAAATAATGACAATTGTATTGAAGTAAGGCAGCATCTCGTAGAGAATAGGTATCTTACCAGTATAGGTAAAAAGTTTAGGTAAGAATTAACGCAAGTATTTAACAGCAGAAACTATTCCCTTTTGAGTGGTCAAGAGAAGCAGACAGATCTTACTTGTAGCAAGTAACTAGTTGCATAAGCATTTACTGCAGTGTTTTACAAGGAATCCTTCAGAAGATGACAAGTTATTTTTGAGTAGCAAATGTTTGGAGATCTAGCTTTAAAAGCTGAGGCTAATAAAGACAAAGAGTTTAAATAAGTCCCGAGGGGGCTGTTTGTAAAGGAGAAAAGATTTGGTCTGCATGTGTGTTATTCTAATGCCTGGTTCTCTTAAGCTTTATTATTAACTTTGCTTTTCTGAATTCAATTTGCAGATACTTGGGGTTTATGTTGAGTGACTCAATGTCATGTTTAGGAGTCTGCTGTGTCGTCCACTTTATCCCGTGATATTCCTCCATTGCAAATTGTAAATTATTCTGCTTTCTGTAGTTGTTGGGTGGAATGCTAGAAGGCAAAAATATGAACTGTATTGCTGGAGTGATTGCATGTAAGTTTCATCTTCAACAATTTGGACAACCACATGCAAAATGAGGGTGAAGGAGAAGGTGCAGAGTGGGACAGAAGCTATAAGCTAACCTTTTCTTCTTCTACCGTTGGCTGGGGTTAATACAGAGATTATGACAGTGTTAGTTTTTTCTCCGTCCAGTTCAACGGTCATACTACGAAAACACAATTCTCTTGCAGACTATCTTGTAAAATTGGAATGTGCAAATTCGTCATGTAACTGCAGCAAAGGTCTCCAAGGTGAGACTAACCTTGTTAACAGACTTAACATAGAGTAAAGAAGCTTAAGTTGGCCAAAACTTTATTACAGAGAGCTTAAGTTGGCCAAAATTTTGTTATAGAGCTCACAGCAAATACTGCAATTTGAATGCAAGTAGAGCTGGTAATTTAAAAAGAAATGGGAAGTAAACAAAACTATTACAGCAGCTATTCATGTATTTGGTGGTGGAGTGTTTCGCAACCAGTTCCAATACTGGAATGACAGTTCTTGCTCAGTGCAGAGAGAAGAGTACTTGGATTACCTGGCACTGCCCTGTGCCATTCGCTTTAACAGATGCTGCTGGTGTAATCCAAGGGATTTCTCTGATGGCCTTTACAGTTCATCTTTGAAAATAAGACACTGGCAACTTCAGTAATGTTACCGTCGGGATCCCAGATCCTCTTCTTCTTAGTATGTCCTTAAACTGTTCATTATGGTTAGTTTTCTTCTTGGCCTGCTGGGTGGAAATCTAACCTATAAACATCTGACAGCGGTGCCACATATCCTGTGACTCTGAAACCCCTGCTGTCTCCATGAAGCCCTGCAAACAGAAATCTGTGGACACTGGAGGTGTCGGATCCCTTTCTCAAAGGGTGGGACAGTGGTGAAGCACTGTGCTATGAGCTCGGGGCTGGCCGGAGCAGTGGGAGCACCGGGTGACATGGGGACTGCCATGGCCCTTCCCCATGGGAGGGCGGTGGCTGCAGAGCACACACATTCTGATTCCCCAGCAGAGATTTTTTGTTGTGCTTAGAACTTTCTGCAATTAGGTGGGATTGAGGCTTGAAAATCCCTATTGAGAGGAGAAATATTGAGATTCAAAATATAGAAAAGCAGCCAAATTCCATGAAGAGAGTATATATCATTTATGTGCTGTCAAAACACAATGGATACTGTACAACCACTTTTCTGCACTCTGCTTATGCGCACGCTGTATAATCCATGCACGCAAATTTGGCATGCAACTCGTACCACTCAGCAAAATACAGAGCAGCAACGCATGTTAGCAAGAGCCTGTACAAAGGAGTCATTATTTTTACAAGTAATTAAACTGCATTTCACCAAATAAATGAATGCAGCGTGTTTTGTGGCGCATTATCCTTGGGGGGATTTTATTGTTCACTTGCTTGCTAATTTGCAGGACCCTGCATTTTACAATGATTGTCCCAGCCGGCAGTGGAAAGGGGTGAAATTTTACTGTAATTGGGATACAATCATTAAAAAGCAGACACAAAACCTTCTCCATTGTTGCAGTTTTATCGTAGAATCCTAGAATGGCTAGGGTTGGAAAGGGACGTTCAGCTGCAAAGCAGCTTGATTTAGCTGCAGTGTAAATATTTTTCTCCAAAATTAATTACCCTGGTTGACATTTTGAATTTCTGTTTATCAGAGAAACTTTCCCTTTTCAGCTGTTGCAATTCTTCATGTAAAAAAAGAAAAATGCTTCAATTTTAAATTTTGCAGCCCTTGAAGTATTCCTTTCTGTAGCTTTGAGCTTGTGCACTGACTCTTGCATCCTCTGGCAGGAATGGTGCGTGCGCTGCCTCTCTCCAGACTGAACTGAGGAGCTGCGATAGAACACACGTAGGTCCCGAAGATGGAGAGCAGGATGCCAATAGCAGTGTTTATTCACCGACAGTTCATTCCTGAGGGTGCTTATTTTTGTCTTCAAGATTAAAACTTCATAGTAAACATTGTCCTGTGGTGCAAATGGGATAGGACAGTGCCTAAGGGCAGGAGTTTTAGGAAGAAAAATATTAAGGATGTTCTTTTGGAACATTCTAATTTGCTTGCTAGCAGCTTGTTTAACAGTTGTTTGGTGGGTTTTTTTAATACAACTTTAAAATACAATTTAAATTAATTATCTTCATTTGCACAAAAAAAAAAGCTTTGGAAATGAAGCAGGTTGCATCGCTCTCTTTGAGTTTCAACAATTTCTGAGTCTGGCAGGAGCGAATTCCAAAGTGAAAGGGTCCTTCCTTGAAGCCTATTACTTCCCTGTGTTTAAATCGGGTGACGCTGGCTGCAGGGCTGCTCTGCTCGCTGGAGCAGGGCTGGCTCTGAAGAGGCAGCAGCGTTTATCGAACAGGGGGTAGTAGGCTCTGTGTGAGTAACTTGGCCCCTGCAGTAGGACAGCTGCAGTTTGCAGTAGTTGATGTTTTCAGATGCAGTTCGGTGTAGTAATATAATCTGCCTGCCAGCTCCATGTTGTTCAGTGCTCCGTAAGTCAGGCGAGGAAAATGGCTCCAAGAAATAGCGAGTGTGAAGAATTTCAGAGAAGTCGGAAGTGCTGTTTTGTAGAACTTAAAAACACTGATTTTATTTCTGCAGAACAGAGTTCTGTCTAGTAACTCAGAAGTGTAGGGTTTTTTCTCTGAAGCCAAATGTTTGTAGTTCCTTCACAGCTGAGAGCGATTTATGCCCCTTGAAAAAAATGGAATAAGAGAACAGTAAAGCCCATAAAAAAATTCATGCATTTTTCTAGTTCCCTGCAAAGGAGAAGTTTCAGAGTTGTAACAGTCTGAGTTTTTTTTACTGTAGTATTAGTTTTGCTTTTCCTGGTTTGTCTGCTTGCTTATTGCTGTAAAGCACTTCTGCACAGCTCTGGGATTGCTCTTCCTTCAGATCTCCTGGTAACAACCAAGTGGATCAGTATGTGAAACTGTAAGTCAGTACAAGACTCTGCTTCCAAAATTGAACTGATTTAATTAACATGCATGAGGAATAACTCCCTGGTAGCAGAAGGGTTTTAAGAACATTTTGCAGTCCATGATTATCAGTTGGTATTGTTCTGATTTTACGTAATTAGTGAAGTCTGTGCTGTGATCTCCATGGTGCCTCTGAAATGAGGAAGCTATTTCAGTAACTTCACTTGTATATTTCAATACACTTTTCTGAGACAGAGCTGCGAGAGGATTTGCCTGGTATCTCATTTCTTTGCACTTTAGCATGTCCTTTAAGCATGTATTTAGTTTCAGAACCATCTCATTAATGTTTAAAAGGGGGATTCCAAGATGTTGGGCAAAGAGACAGGACCTGGCAAGAGATGCCTGTGTTAAGAGGATGCTGTTCAGCTACAAAAGTGTGGGAGGAGCAGTGATCCGACAGGGTCTGGGTCTCTGACTGCATATTGCTGACCTTTTAAGTTTATTGTTTGAAACACCATTGCTTAATCCATTGATCATCCTGATTAGGAAGATGCTGAGGTCCTGTGGGTTTCTTCTGGCCACAGCAGAGGAGCAGACTGTGGGAGCAGGGGGATGGAGGAACCAGGTGTGAACGTAATGGAGCAGGAAGAGTTTGTGTTTCTCACTTTCCACCCACTCACCCGCTGCGTGCTCCAGCTTTTACTGGTTTCCTAGTGTGTTCCCACATCCCTGCGAGGACTTGTGTTTTCATTCGTTGGCTCCCTCCTTTCCTTTGTTTTGTATCTTCCTCTGAATGCAGAAGAGAGAGAAGTGGCTTTGTCTGTATGGTAGAATCAACTTTTTATTGACTCTGCGATCCCCTTGGAAATTGGAGGTCCTGGGAGATGGTGTTCATGTAAACAGGCCTGTGAGGTGCAGAAAGAAGAAGAGATTTGGGAAGATGTGGTAAGATACGAGAAGAAAATTATTTTTCTCCATAGCAATCTTGATCTGCAGGTGATCTCAAAAATCATAGGGGCCGTAAGCCCTGAACAGCCTTGTGTGGTTGGCAAGTGATTGTGATAGACCAGCTCCGTTTCAGGA